CAAATCAATAAGTGACATGTGTTATTATACAATAAGAAATTTCGAAAAATAAGAATGACATTTCAATCATTGATCGATGAACTTATAAAAAAAATCTAAAAAAAAATAATAATAAAGAACTTCAATCTCTCCAAAATGAGTAGAGAGTCTTGATAATTTTTTTTTAAAAAAGAATACAAGATTTAAATATAAATAAAACTCTCTTTATATTCTAAGTTCTTCTCGTCTATAATGCTTTCACCCCATTATTTTAAAATAATTTTTTTTTTAGGAAATGTCACTGTTAAATTTTATATAAATTTATGTTTTTTATATCGTGTTAAGAAATTTATTATTTACATTCAACATCTAAAAAATTTCAACCAAAAAATATGAAAGAGCTTAGCTTTGTCGCTTCAAAAATTCATGGAGAGCGAATAATTGTGAAAAGAGTGGGAATAACAGTACTGCTTTCGAAAACATATTAAATATAGGGGGTAAAAAAAAATCAAATCCAAGACTCTTATTCGCAGAACTGCTTAATCATTATTGGGCCAGCTCATCACTTTCAAGTCAACCCTTTCTGTGAACTATCCAGGGGTAGCGATTTTGCTTGGAATTAAGACCGAGATGGCGTCATTCACATCTCCTTGGATCTTGGGTGCATTTCTTTTTCTAAGATATTTTTTTAATACGATAAACAAAAATTAGCAATGAAAAATATTTTCAAGTCATTCTTTCCATAATGTTAATTTAAAAAATATATATTTAATTTTATAAATAAGAGGAAAATATTATTATCAACTCCCAATACTTTAATATATTATCATTTAATTAATTACTTCAACCCTTATTAATGTAACCATTGATCCTTAGTCTATATTGAAATTTAATGTAATTATACAAAATAAAATGGTAAGATTCCATCTCTTCACTACTTAACCGAAAAAAAGGGATAAGATTGCATCTCTGCACTACTTAACCGAAAAAAACTAACTCTGTACCAATTCTAACTATTGATATTGTTATACATGTTTAGTGGCATTTCTTTAATTTTAAAGAAATTTATATGAATTTTACTAGAAGTTATGACAAAAGTTTCTTGCCAACATTGGATCTAAAGTAGGGATGATAACGAACGGTTATCCAGTACATTAATTTATTTATTTTTATTCTGTCTATTAAAAGAATATTCTATTTACTATTTATTAAAAAATTTCTATATAAATCTTTATAGAGTCTATATCCGATCCATATTAATTTATCTATCAATTTAATACCTATTTAATACCCCTAAATTTAATTTGTTAAAATATTATTTCAGTCCTTATAATTTTTTTAAAAAATTGACCCTTAAAATTTACTACTTTTTTTTTTTGCATTTTGATTATTTATTTATAAGTTTTTTGATCCTCAAAGTTTTTTTAAAAAATATTTTGATCCTTAAATTTGAAATTTTATACAATTAAATCTCTGCATGTTAATAAAAAAATTTAAATAAATTAGTATGTATTATAAAAAGTGGATATCCATACCTTGAAACCTTATTAATGAGTATGTATTTTTTTATTCTTATCTACTTCAATACCCGTTAGATATTTTTATTGAGCTAGATAAAACATATATCTTTTTTGTACTTGGCCCATTGTTATTCTTAATCTAATGGATATTTCAAATGCGATTAAAATTTAATGACATTTGAAAACAAATGCCTTTATATCCAATATTGGTGAAAAAATACCACAATTATCACTAAATTAAGAAAAATATAACTAAAAACACATAGTAATGACAATTATGAAACGTCATTGTAGTGGTTGAATACTGTTTGAATTTTTAAATTCTATTATGTTCAGATTTTTTTTACTTGCTTAAATAAGGACTTATAAAAAGAGATTGGAATGATCTCAGTTTTGGTACGCATACTCTAATATACCTTATCTAGATTGTCCGGTAAAATTTCAGCTCATTTTGAGTTTTGTAGCTTGAGTAACGCATTAATCCTAGCTAACGGGTTCTTGAAGTGTTGTTTGAGAAGTCTCGAGATTTTTTTTACTCGTGCTTGTGATTTGGGTTTGTTCCTTCATGGATTGACTTGTGATTGTAGATTGTTTTGGATTGATTTTGAGACTGATTTGGTGCTTGTTAGTTTCTGGCTCCGCTTATTGCACAAATGCATACATATAGATTCTAATTTGGTGACTAATTTCATAGGCATGGCCAGTGTATTTCACATACATGGAAGCGAAAAAAAAAAAAAAAGCCAGTGGTTCTACAGCCATATGGTCAAGGATCCCAATCACCGAACTTGGTCTACAATGTCTAAAGACCTGGGTCACACCCAGCAAATTTAACGTGAAACATGGAGTCCAAAGTATTAGGTCAACTGTATCCAAAATCTTAGTAAATTAGTAAGTATTTAAGGAATGATTTCGACTTGTGTCTACTAAAACACAAAATTCAAAGGTGTGATGGTAGTGGTTGTCGCTATCACCATGGGGTGAGGTGCTTTCTTGGATTCTAAAGAAAGGGACGCAAAACCAGCCTAGCTACCGAAGGGACCAAAGCATTCGTCTTCTTCTTTGCCTCTTCCAATCGTATTCCACCATTCAAGTTATTCTCCTTTCCCTCCTAATTAAGTTTAGCTTTGTTTTGTCATGGAAGCAAAACAATCAAGCGTGGGCAAATTTTTAAACCTAAAACTATTCACAGGTTTTGGTATATTTCTAACACAAAGCCATAAAGTTGTAAAGGTCATTGCTATATTAAAAGAATATGGGATTTCTATATGATTTATACCAAATTAAATTTACATCAACCTTTTATTTTTTTGTAATCAGCACAAAATAGAAGTTAGCTTTTTCGTTGAGCCCACAAACAAAACTCGCATGCCAAGTGCTAGAATAAAGTTGCGGGCACTTCTTTATGATTACTACGCAAATTATAAAACTGTACATGTTAATGATGTTGTCTTGTAACTTTTTCTTTCATTATTTAGCTCAAATACTCGTTTAATGGAGTGCTACTATTATCATTTAAGCTTGTCACACTTCTGTGACAAAATATCACAACTTTTTTTTCCTAAAGAAGAAAAATCCAAAAAAAGCGCCACGAAACCCTGAAGAAAATTCAACAAGTGGGTTGCATGCAAATGGTTTTGATTATTTATGGGTTCACTCCTCTCCATGGCTTTGGATGGACCCTTGTAGTGTAGCCCATAACTGACCCTAACACTTCGCCTAACCACACATGACAAGACCCCCTCACCTGACGGTCGGAGCGTGTAAACCCCGCGCGTGGGACCCTGAGTTTTGACGCGATACGGTGTTCCGAAGAAACGGCATCGCATCTAGGGGCAACGATAAAAATGGTGGGTGAATTATAAAATTATATTTTAGTCCCTAATTTTCAAACCTGATTATAACTTAGTCTATTATGTTTGAAAACCTACACTTTAGTTCCTTGACTTTTGTTGACTGTTATCTCACTCTAAAATTGATTGGTTTTGTTTCAAATTTCAAAATGAACTTTTTGATAATTTAAATATTTGGAGAAAAACAATTTCAATAGACTGTTAGAATAAAACCAAAATGTTTTAATAAGGATGCTTACTATGGTTTTTTTGAAGACATCATAAATATAGTATCTTAAAGTTTACAAATTAATATAAAATTTACGATGCAAAAAGTATAACTAATTATATAATTATTTATTAGTTTATGATCAATAACAATTTTCTTTTTGGCTAAGTAAATGATTTTTTTCCCCTTTAATGAGGTGACAAGATTTTATTATTATTATTATTGAAATTGCATTTAATTTGTCATAACTATCACAATTAGGCTGTGTTTGTTTAGGAAAAAATATTTTTCAAGAACTAATTTTTCTCAATTTTTAGTGTTTATTTCGCGTTTAGGAAAAAAATCAATGAAAAATAATAGAGTATTTTTGAAAAAATGTTTTCCCAATTTAAAAAGAGGAAAACATTTTCCTTCTCACTAGTCGTCCCAAATAATTTTGATGAATTAGTTTGATGGTAAAAACATATATTTTATTTTTTTGAATTAAAATTTTAGAGTCAATGTTTATGAAAATTTATTAAATTTTTCTAAATGTATCTTATATTATAAAATTATGAATATGCATTTTTTAAGTTTTCTCAAAACTTGTTAATGCAACAATCACATACTTGTTTTTATATTTTAATTTTCTATATCAAACAAATACGAGAATATATTTTTCAATAGTTTTTTCATGTAATTGTCAAACGACATAAAATATTTTGTTGGAAAACAATTTCCCAAAAAATAACTTCCCGAAGAATTGATTTTCCTAGAAAAATTATTTTTCGCCAAACAAACGGAGCCTTATAGAACAATTAATTAAATTACGGAAAAAATAAAATATTTTAAAGATGAATTAGTACAATACAATAAATTTAATAGTTAAAACTTAAAGGAACCGCAATTGTATGTTTTTATTGAAAAGACTATAGTTAATAACAAAAGGAGCTAAATTATATATTTTCAAACAAGAAGAACTAAGTTACAGTTATGCTCAAAATATAGGGATTAAAAATAATTTACTCAAAGAAAAGGGAATCTAGGAAATCTAAAAACGCTCATGCTATACACACAAAAGTAAAGAATAACGTTGGAGTCAGGTGTTTCTCTTTCTCTCTAGTGAGTTAGCCGTTTTCTTTAGCTTCTCTCTCTCAAAAGCAACATTGATGCCATTACTTTTCTTTCCTCTTTTTCTCTCCTTGATCCCTATCTTATAACACACACATTTCTTTCTTTCTCACTCTGTACTTTTTAACAGAGAGAAAGGGAGGAAAAAAAACGCCAACAGTCTTGATCATCATTACAGACAACGCAGACAGTCTAGATTTTTTTTGAAAGGAAATTTTTAGTTCAAAATTGTTTTAAACAAAGTATACTTAGTGCTAAATAAAAGAAAAAAAAAAAAAGGAGAAAGAGAGACAATAAAAAGGTTTTGTTTTTTGGATTGGAATAATAAGAATGGGATCATCTTCGGGACAAAGCAGTGGATCATATGATCTATCATTCAAGATCTTGTTGATCGGTGATTCTGGGGTTGGCAAAAGCAGTCTTCTTGTCAGTTTCATTTCCGGTTCTGCTGAAGATCTTGCACCAACCATTGGTATTAAGAACTTCTCTGTCCTTATTTTGCTTTCTTTTTAATGTTCTATGGATGGATTCTTAGCTAGGTAACATTGTGTGATGCCTTTTGGATCTCTCTTCATGGTTGAAACTTGTTCAGTGATTATAAACCCAGTTATGAAAATTTTCTTTTTGGAAGTTGTTCTTAATTAGCTACATAAAGTGTTCTTTATTTAGTATGATTTATTAGATGGTGACTGTTTTTTTTTTTTTCAACTACAAGTATGTTTACTTAAATAGAAAAGGGAGTCTTGTGATTCCTGCTTGTAACTTCGAGTGATTGATCAACTAAATAATTGAGTTCTCTGTAATGATTATGCATTGAGATTCTTTGTCTTTGTTCTGTATTAAGGTGTGGATTTTAAGATCAAGCAGCTAGCAGTAGGAGGAAAGCGGTTGAAGCTGACAATTTGGGATACTGGTACGCAATGCAATGCTCAATATTCTGTTATTTTAGTTTATACAGTATATATTTTCCAGTTGAGTATGTGGACTTTGTGTCTCTGCATTTTGACCATATGAGCTGAGTGATGGAGCCACCAATGTCAAAGAATTTATCAACATTGCGCTCTTACTAATTTGTAAGTTGCTAGCAATGGAACAGTGGGATATCAAATATAACACACGGAAACTTCAGAAAAACTGTTCACTTCATTTTATGTTTGAGATACAGAGTGGCTTTTCTGGCTTGAATAGATATCGACTTTTGCACTCTTTTAATTTATCACTCATGTTTCTGTTAACATTAATGATATTGAACTTGAAATTTATGTTCAAAACTGTGTCATTTGATTCATAAAATTGTTATGGTTCTTGCAGCTGGACAAGAGAGATTCAGAACACTGACTAGTTCTTACTACAGAAATTCCCAAGGGATCATTCTTGGTATGCAACAAACACTATTTATCATGTGATTTTGTTCATTAAGAATGTGGTGCTCAGCTTGCAACTTGAAATAATCATGAATAGGAATTAGCGCAAATTCCTTTTATGAGCATGAAAGTCTGATAGAAATATTTGAATTGGCTCTCATGTTAACTTCATTTCTAAGATGAATTCTATTTGCTTATCTTGTTAAACTCTTGTATGTTGCTGTATATATAGAATATCATATTTCATTTATATAGAATATGGCTGTTATCGTATCACATTCCAATTTTCTTAGGAGATTCCCTTAAAGATTTAAAGCAATTCATGTAGCTTACAAGATAGATAGAATTTTTAATTCGGCATATTCCCACTGCTTTCCAAAGGAGGGGAAAAAGATGTGCTTTCGTCTTATCCTTTTAACCTCTTTATCATATTAACATCCTGATGACTTCGTCAGTATCCATGATTTCATCATACTATAGAGGACCAGCTTCAGAACATGCATCCTACAGCCTCACAGAATCTTTGTTATTTTTATTCTGCTCATTTATGGGAATCTACTTTTTTGGTCTTGTTCATCACTGTGGAGAGACTAATTAAAATGGATTTCACAATGCTGAAATTCATGTTGATTGTTTCTGTCATATACATGCTAGTAACTATAACTCGCGCTAGTAGTCTGCCAATTGTTAATTGATTATTCTTTTGAGAACGTCTTTGGAAGTATACTTTCATCATTTTGACTGCCCAGTCTATAACTGATATCTGCTGAAATTACAGTTTATGATGTGACAAGGAGAGAAACCTTTACAAACTTAGATGTGTGGACTAAAGAAGTCGACCTCTACTCAACAAATCAAGACTGTGTCAAGATGCTCGTTGGAAATAAAGTTGATAAAGTAAGTTTTTTGTTCTTTTCTCAAGAGGATGAACAAGCTAACAGAAGACTATAATAAATCTTTGAAGCTAGGTTAATGTAGACAAGTGGAACTCGTATTTAAATCGTACTTTTATCACCATGGCATAGTGCGGTCTAATGTGTGCACTACATCTCCTTTTCATTTCTCTTTATATTATTGTTCTATTTTTATCACCATGTCCTAGTGCAGTCTAATGTGTGCCCTACAACTCTTTTTCATTTCTCTTGATATTGCTATTATTGTTCTATTTTTTCCATGATTTCAGGATTCTGAAAGACAGGTAACTAGAGATGAGGGGATGGCTCTTGCTAAAGAGCATGGATGTATGTTTCTTGAATGTAGTGCTAAAACTAGAGAAAATGTGCAGCAATGCTTTGAAGAGCTGGCATTGAAGGTACTATTTGAGACTGCATGAACTGTCTGGCAACACGATACATGCATCATTCTATGCCATAATCATGATTATGTTTTTTGCCACTCTGGTAATATAGAATAAATAATTAGTAAAATGAACAGAATTAAATATTATATTGGCATTTGCAATTGGAGCTTCTAATGTAATGTAATTTCCTGTTTGACTGTCTGATTGGTTGATATCTACTGATGAAAACGTTTATTAAATTATTTCCATGTTGCCATTTCTCTGAAAGAAAGGATGCTACTTCGACCCTAGAGATATAAAAGTGATTCAGATTATATACAAATGAAGTACATTTGTTGTTTTCGATTCTGATATTCAATGATTTGTCTTTTAGATAATGGAGGTCCCTAGTCTTTTGGAAGAAGGATCTACGGCAGGGAAGAGAAACATTTTAAAACCAGAACAGCAGCCAGCTGCGAGCCTAGCTGCGAGCGGTGGTTGTTGCTTTTAAAGGCTGCAAAAGAACGCCTCTGTATGGGCAGCATGACTTACATATCAATAAAAGTCACAAGTAGCACTGCTGATGGCTTTCTTTGTTTTACATGTCAATAAAAGTCACAACGCCTCTGTATGGGCAGCATGTACAATGTATTTCCACCTTAACAAACCATGGACAGATTGTGTATATGGTAATTGCTTTCTTTGTTTCTTTGTGTTTGTACCGTTACCGTTGTCAATGAGTTGCCTTAATCACTATTGTACCATCTCATTCTTGGGAATTGAGGCATTGAAATAACATTCATTAGCTTGTGTTAATTTGTTTGCCTTTATTTTTGCTGGCCAGTCTTTACTCATGTCTCAAGAACAGTCTGTATTTTATTGATTCAGTTATTGTGAGATTGGATCTTCATCTCATGTGTGTTTGTATCTTTGTATTTGGCGGTGACCACGATCATAATTCTTTAGCCACCCATGTCAAAATCGAATGGGAGAGCTATTGTTAATTGGGATTTCTCAGTTCTCTCCTTACATTTGGGTTACTGTGCTACTGCCGTATAAAAGCATCAGGTATTTATGTAATGTTACGTGTAACACAGATGCTTCAAAATCTCTCACCTATCTGTATCAGCCATAAATAACCAACAAAGCTCCTTGACAAACTGGTTCTATGATATATTGAGCGATCATCTCTCTTTTCCGGTCAACAATTTCAATTGGTGTAGGAGGGAGAGGGACTAAGCGCAAGAATCACTAAAACCATGGCATAGAAAAGAACCCTATGTTTGGGGCAAAATTTGCACCCTTCATGCTCCGTACAACTCGTTCTTTTTTATTACCCTCGAAGGGTAATCTGACATTATTTTTACAGAGGATGGAATTTTACCATCCTTTATTCTTAATGATGTAGCGTTATCCTCCCACACTGGTTACCATTGTTTCTAGGTTACCAGGAGTTTCGTAGTCGGGAAGGGAGATCAGATTATAAGTGTCCCTCTGAGCTACAAACCCATTAACAACAACAGGTTTCGATTCAATCTGTTTTTCATTATCACTTTCTATCTTTTTTGTTTTTCATTCTCTACTCAATAAACTATTCAAACTTTTCTCTTTTTTACTATTAGCAAGTTAACAATTACCAGCGAGTTAGAATTTGTTTCAGGATAAACTTGGGATGAAACCTTCCATGTTATACTCTGAATTTATTCTCTGATAAGAAGCTATTCCAAGATTTGCCTCAACTAGGTGCCAAAAAAAACTGGAAGGCAAAGAATGAATATAAGATCAAAAGCTACTTTAGAGCAGACCAAATTTCAGAGACCTTAATAATATCATTTGACATTTTAAATTTGTGGTTAATAATAATAATAATAATATCCTAAATTTCTAGTGGTTGCCTAAATTGGGTAATTATACTCTTAAGAGAAGCAAACAAATGCAAAATGCAGAGCCGACCAAAGAAAGTATCCTCTAACAACCATTAGTATAAGCTTGCGTTTGGGTAAGGAAGCTGAAGATGGTCATGGAGAGGCACTTCCAGCTGATTCCAAAATTCTGCGAGCTTCAGTATCTGGTTCAGGTAGTTCGCTTGGAGTCTGCCATGGCAACGAAATATAAAACATACACGACGGAGATGAGAAACATAATTTCCATAATGAAACCAATGGTTACTAACCTTTCCATATGAGTTTGCTGCCGTAGCGGAGGCACCACAAGCCAGCAACAGTCTAACAACATCAGCATGTTCACCTCTTGCTGCATGGTGAAGAGGCTGCAAAAGGGTTTTATCAGTGATCAGGAGAAAGTAGACAATGGTTGGGGGGCAGGTTAAAACACAGCTACAGGTCCAAATTATACAGTCACTCTTAGAACCCTTGTCAGCTCACACCAGCTAAAGGACAGGGCCAAGCCACAGAAACGACATTAGCTGACTGGCCCAACACAACACCCCCGGAAAGATTAAAACGAAAAAGGAAACGAGAATCACATCATTTCTTTTGTCTCCTATTTTCTCCTCCTAACCAATTTTCAGTCAACTCTAAGAATTTGGCCTCCCCCAAAAACTCAAAAACCATTCAGTTTATTACTGGAACTCACAGTATCGCCCTCATCATCAACTGCCTCTAGCATCCTTTTCACACACTCTGCACTATTAGCACTGTTCAATAGAAGTTGGACTATCTCAGTAAATCCTGCAGCAGAGAACAAGGGAGGGGAGGTAAAAAACAAAAGAAATGAAAAGGCCAACATTAGTTTTCAAAATTTTATGGAGAAAGAATTTGGAACATGTTGATGGTAATTAATTTTTCTTTACCCCCTGCGCAAGCATCGTGCAGAGGAATCGCCCCGTCTTCATCCTTGGCCTCCAAGTTTGCTCCCCTTTCCAGGAGTAGCTACAAAAGCAAATGTAAATCATTTGTAATATTGTTTAACATTACAAAGCACCACCAAAAAAGCAGTAAAAGAGAATAAATCAAGCCAACTAACCTGGACGCAGGGCAAACAGCCATACAAGCATGTCAAATGGAGAGCCGTGTCCCCATCTTCCACTGGTTCATCAATGCTGCCATTCAGGTTATCTGAACCAGAAACTAAAGCATGAGCAGAAAAAGATCTATTTTACTTAGTTGCAATTTCAGTGTCACATGATGATGAAAACAAATAAAATGTCAGTTGGAAACTTTAAATAAGATAATTGTGCTTTCAAAGGTCTGATTTCTAACTTGTTTGGTGGAGTGGGTTCAGCACACATCGTCCCGAATTCTAGAGATTTCAATACAACCTTTTAATTACCAACTCTTTCAATGCTTTCTACTTCAACAAGAGAAAAATTTATTCTTTCACATTTTTGTACAAAAAAGCTACCCTCAAAGCCTTGAAATGCCAACCTATTGGCTGGAAGTCCAGAGGATTTCTATCGTTGTACGAGTTAATGCCCTTGTTCCACAATATTGTTTATAACATCTAAATCACATAACAAACCATCATCAATTTGAAATTTGGAGAAACTAAAAAAATCCTGCATAGTGAAGCTAAGAAAAGATCTCAATCAGCAGTAATATACTCTCTTAATCCCATGACAAAAACCAAGAATGAAATGTTTGAGGTTTGATCTTGCTCAAGTTCAAACTCCAAAACTCATATTCCAAATATCCAATCAAGCAGCTTCGCTTTTGGGGTTTAGCTATGTCAAGTTCAAGGATTATTAATATTATAGGCAAAAGCAACGAACCCATTATTGAACTCTTTCATAAAATTATTTCCACTATCCACTCATCGGAAAAATGAACCCAAATGACCAAATTTATCTACCAAGATGCAGAACCAGACTTTAGAAGTGAGAAGCGCAACTAGCCTAATGCAGGGTGTAGACTAGCTTTTGAAAGAACTGGCCACTGTCTTCCACTGATCATAAGTCGGAATACACACCCAACGGCAAGCTTGTTTATTCAATTGATTAACATCAACACGCTTCAGACTATCTCTGTCTTACATGAGCAAAATAAAACCTATATCAGCAAGCATAACAGCTATTCCTCCTAATGAATTCCACTCACCCACCAAACATTGCTGAATCTCCAGTCCATTAGAGATAGCTGGTCAGCTTACTAAACAATCTTCCAAACTCCCTAATAAGAAAACAACCAATCTAAATATCTAAAAATCCAACCTAGATAGCTTCTTTTGTCACGCCAATCCCAATTAAGAAATAAACCCTTGAGCAAAAAGTTAATCCAAAATTTCCAAGAACTAGAATTTCAAGCAAATCAGAGCAACTATACAAGTGGCTGAAAACCCAAAAATAAAAAAAAAAATTGAAAGAAAAAACCAGGGGAGAGAAGAAGAGAAGGATATTAATTAACCTAGAGCATTGCGAAGAGCGTCAAGGTCACCGAGCTGAGCAGCGCGGGCGAGGTCACGGAGGTGAGGAGGAATATCGGAATCTTGGTCAATTAAGCCGTCTCCTTCAAAGAGAGCATTGTCTTCTTCGTTCTCTTCTTCTTCTATTAGATTGTCGCGGTGCACTGCCATTTCTTCTTCTCCTTTCTTTTCTTCCTTCTCTGTCCGTGATATGCTGTGTATCTCTCTTTTGCGTTTGTGTAGTATATACTGGAAGGTGGAAGCAGACGACTAAAATAAGAAGTAGGGCTTCAATAAATAAAATGATCAAAAACCAAAAAAATCTGTATATATTATAGGATGAGAAATGGCCCAGAGAGCAACCAAAGTGGGCCTTCTCAAGGGGAAATTCATGGGCCTAAAAACCACCTTCTCATTGGGCAATTGATGGGCTTGAAAATGTATAGAAGAAGATCCTACCCTTTTTGTTTTTTTTGGGTGGGCATGCACACCCTAAACCTCCAAGCATGCTTCTCCATTCTTTAGTTTCTAGTAAACGATTGGTTTGTACGTTTTTGGAGCCTTTGAACTGATCCGCTCACTTTGGTCACTTGATTTGTTTTTGGAAGTGGTGCGGTTCTTTCGGAATAGATTTTGGTGGATACCGATCGGGATTGAAAAAGAGTTTTCTACGTCTATTAGTTTTGGGTGGTCCATTAATTAGGGCTTTGGCTTAGTTTTGAGGCAATGGAGTTTTCCTTGCCACATATATCGGTTTAATGGTAAAAGATTACCTTCACATTAGTATGATTTGACAATTTTAAACATTTACTACTAAGTTGAATTAATTGAATCTCAAATTATTATTTTTTGTGATAAATATTGCTTTTTATCTGTTATTTTTAACAATCAAAGGGTTGACTATCACGGTCAATCCTTTAATCATTATTGTTGTAGTTTTTTTTTTTTTTAATTTAGTTAATTTAGTGAAAATATTATCTACATAAGATTGCATAGTGGTTATTCGTTAAATTTCAAAATTAATAAGACTCATAAAAAAAATTAAAATTATAGATAATCGAATAAAAAAATAAAAGTATAAATTCTCGATTAGAAATAAAATAAAACATTCATACTTATATAATGGACGAGTCGGCATGCTCATGTGTCCATTTAATGGTCATGTCGACATAAACTTGACGTAAATATTTTATTAGAAAAATTTCAAAATTTGCATTAATGACAACCTAGTTAATGGTAGATTTAAATATTTTATTTTATTTTTAATCTAGTCAATTTAATGGTCATGTTAAAATGAATTTAACATAAATATTTTATTAAAAAATTTAAAATTATATTAATGAAAATCGAGTTAATACTGGCTTTAAATATTTTATTTTATTTATAGTTTAGTCAATTTAATGGTTATGTCGGCATGAATTTAATAGATACTTGGTTAAATAAAATTTGTAATTTTTTATTTAAATATATGTACTCTTATTTTTTCTATTTGATTATTTGTACTTTTAATTTTTTTTTATAGTGTTATCATAACGAATAGCCACTATACAATTTTATATAAATTATATTTTGACTAAGTTAACAATTTTTTTAAAAAAAACAAAAACTAGAACGTTAACGGTCAAAGAATTAATCGTTAGCGAGTCAATTTTTCTTACCGTTAATCTAAATTGACAATGATAACGAATAACGATCGCATTTGCATTAAAAAAAAATTAGAATCTAATTAATTTAAATTGATAATAAAAATTTAAAATTATCAAATTGTAATAGCTTAATGGCAATTTTTATAAATAAAATAATATATTTATATTCGATTAATTTTTTTTCAAGAAAAGCCCTTTAGTTGGCCTAATCATACGCATGTTGTGAGTTCTTTTCTTGTAGATGCACATTTGGACAAACAACAATATTTATGTGAAGGTGTTTAACTAAAGATAATCTAACTATCCAATTACCATCGTACATGGGCAAACGGGAATGCCATTGAGCTATCTATCATCTTCTCTCAGCGCTGTCAGGCGTATTATATGTGTCTCACGCAAAGTGGCAACGTGCATGCGTGGCTTTTCAACACCCACGAAAATGTGGAAGTAACGAACTAAAAAAATTGTAGATAACCTCGTCTTCATATTGTGAGTACCATACTCATCTTTCCACTATATGTCTGCTCATTACTTAGAAAGTGATAGAACAAGACAAAAGAAGGGAGCTAGACTAGGCATAAGTTCCATTCTCCTCTTTGATCTTACCATGAATTGTGGCGTTATATCCTACTTTATGACAACCCATGTTGATTCGGTTAAGGACATTGTGCACATAAATGGGGGTTGGCACTTAGAAAATATATAATGTCGTAACAAATTGCTAAAAGTTGAACTACTTTACACTTTGGAAATTCAGGAATCCACAAAATCCAAGTCTTTTTTTGGGTACCATCCACAATCTAAAGTTAGTAATGCCGAGACTATAGCACCAATTACTCACATCGGTGTCTACCTTTAGACACATGGATCTCACAAGGGATTCTTATTCTAAAGTTCAATTCGTAGTTGTTAGAAAGTTTGGTTTATGATTAGGCAATGTACTAGAAGTGTGGTGAACCAACCAAAAAGCGTTAAAAACCTGGCAAAGTAAGAAATGCTGTAATATTGTATACAAGATTCACTTGCCTCTGCCTCTAATTAATCAGTATATTTTTCATGACTGCCTAACATATAACAGTTCATCGTAGTACCAAGATGGATGGCTTATGGGTGACTTATCGTGTAACCTACTTCATTAAATGATCGACGACTACAAGTGGATCCATAAAAGAAGGGCAGTTAGCAGTGGCTAGCTTGCCATCCGTTTAATATTCTTTGTCATGTAAATGAAACAGACAGGCAGATATGGGAGGTTTAGCTTTCTTGCAAACCAAACAAGCTAGAGAACCTAATCCAACACTTTCGGTTGTGATATTGGTGGCTGCAAACTCATGCCAATTTAGCTTTGCTTCCTCAAAGTTCCCACATTTTCCTCACAATCAAAACAAAGAAAAAGAAAACCTTTTTTGAACTTTTCTCTGAAGTGAATGCCACCGTGGACAAGCCAGCCACTTAACGACTCGAATAATCTAAGGTAAACAATTGTGATCAAAATAAAAACCTTTTCAAAGAATGAACAAATTTGAATTACATTAGTGAAAATGAAGTTAATAAAGTCCACATTAAATTTGGGGTGAAACAATCCCAAACGATAAAACAACAATTTCCATTTTAATTTGATTAGTAATGGCAATCAACCAAGGGAGAAGCTGTGAAGACAAGAACTTGTTCCTTGGATGCAAAGTTGAACTTGGATTCTCGGAGATCATCTTCGGGTGCCGGAAGATTAAGATCTAGTTGGAGGCTATTTCTTGGTTTCTTGGATTCTTGGGACTCGTGATCAGGACTGCTTCCCAAATTCATAGTTGTTGTTGTGGTGGTGGTGGTTGAAGTGGTGGCAAAAGCCCTATGCCGTCTCATATGACCACCTAAAGCCTGACCAGACGAAAACTCAGCACCGCATATAGAGCACTCGTGGACCTTATTAGATTTCACATTAGTACTACTCAGAATCCTGTCATTTACTATCTGCAACGAAAGGGTTGTGCTCATATCAATATTCTTTCGATTAATTTCCTCTTGGCCCATTCGTACCGTCGTCAACGCCTTCTTGTCTGCGTCAATATTACCGGGTTGGGCAGGTTTTGGTTTCTTGTGACTCGCTCTATGTCCACCAAGCGCTTGAAATGAAGGGAAACGCCTGTTACATGTCTTGCATTGGTAAACATATAACCCCACATCCTTGTCGATAAACGTATTAGTAGTTGTTGCTGCAATAGCCATAGGCTTAGACAATAATTTGCAGTTTTGGTTGCCTTGAGCCAAAAGAATCAAACAATTGGCCATGTCTTCTTCCTCCCCATTCCCTGCCTTGAATTCAACTGAGGTGCTAGGAGACGATAACGAGTTGTTGTAGATTCTTTCACGTTCACCTCCACTTTCTCCGCCGCTAGATGAGCTAGAAGTTAAGGCTAACGTTAGCGGCGAAGATGGTCTTTGTCGCTTGGTACGCTTGCCTTTGATGATTTGTGTTAGTTCCTTAGACCCAATTGTTTGATCTTGATCAAAATCCATCATCACTTGACGATCTTAATTTCACCAAGAGGAAACTAAGAGAGATCAAGAGAGAGGTGAGGAGGAAAGCTAGCAAGGTATAGGAGAGTGGGAGTTAATCTTGTATTGAAAGAAAAATAAAAAAACAGTAGTAATGTTGTCACAGGAGGAGGAGAGGTGTGGTTTAAGTAGAGCTGTAACCCTTGGACAGTTACCGTGAATCTCTTTGCTTGCCAGTCTTGCGTTTTCCAAACTTGAAAATTATAATAGTTTATATTTAGACATATTAATAAAAAGAAAAATACAGATGGATAGATAGAGAGAGAGAGAGAGAGTCTATAGAATGCAAGTATGAGGAGGCGAGGAAACGAGTGAGATTCGGTTGGCTTTGAAGCAAACCCATTACTTTTTCTAGGCGTTTCCTTCTGGAGGATTGGTTTGCAAGCCTGGAACCACAGATTTTCCGCTTCTCTCCCTTTTTTTTTTTTTGTTTGCTTTTCTTGGCTGTGTTTTGTTAGTTTAATTACTTAAATTTCGTTTGCTTTGCTTGTTATACTACGTACACACTATCTTCCTTTCTGTATGCTGAACCAAACAAACAGTAGTACTAGTTAAATTTAGAATTAAACATTTTCAACGACTAACTAATTATTAATTAAGAAACAAATTATGACAGCCAAATGTATAAATGTTAAAAGGATATTAACCATTTTGAGAAAAAAGGATTATTAATTAAGTATATGCTAATGGTGTGTGGACTATGGACTAATGGCGTTTTATTAGCTAATTAATCAGAGACTTGATGTTGAGTTGACCCACATCTACTCCACGTTCACATTTTACATTACTAATAACTTCTTAAATGGACAATGACCCCAAAATCACGCCGGCAATGCCCTTATATATATATATATATGACCTAATTAATGTTTATATCATTATTGCCTTATGTTTTGCCAATCATTAGGGTTAATTTGGTGTTTAGCATGAATTAAATTATGACAGCTCTCTCAGCATAGCACCCGAATTAATCACAAACCATTTATTTTTGGACTTCACGGAATATACAAGTACATTACTTAGTCATCGAAAATTGAAATTGTCCATCAAACTACTAAATCAGCTAAGATTTGACAATATTTGGGATACCATATCAATGTGAATAGTAACTTTCCATAATTGTTTAATTAACAGATATTGACTTTATCCATCTAAACCCATTTTAATTTAAAAAGATCTCTCGTATAGAAAAACATGCCAATGATTACAAATGGATGCTTAGATAATTAGGAGATGCTTTGAATTAATGGTTCTTGATTATTATTTTTTATGTTAAAGATGATCAGAGCTATGCTAATATAGCGCCGTCCGCAACAACTTTTAGTTGCCGTTTCTTTCCTGCTATTCATCTATTAATTCTTCTACATAGAGGTAGCTAGCTACGCATTGTTTTGGGCGGTGGGCACAGAACAAGGTTTTCCAGTTCCTACAAGGTAGAGTATTTTGTGAAGTGAATAAAGGAATATATTAAGGTGTGAAGAGATTCTTGGCGTAAGGAATTATTTGGAAGGCGTTCTGAGAGGCACGTAGGTGCTAACGCCAGCATCAGCTGTACGTAGGTAGCAAAAGTAAAGTATCAAACTGATCATTAATTTCTCATTTTCATATATTTTTGTGGATTTTGTTGGTGGATTTTAAAAAAGTATTTCCCTTAATTATATTGTTCCTTGCTTCCAAATTGCCTATACTCTTCTCCTATTTTCTTCAATAAGATGAAGTACTCTCCTGCTACCACTTCTCCACTTTCTTGGCTTCAACTGTAGCATTTAGAATGTAAGTATGAAGCCAACACTCTGATGCACTAACAAATGCTTCACTTAACACGGCAGAAGACAAGTCACGGATGCAGCATCAATTCTCATAGCAAAATACTTCATGCATGGCTCTACAAGTCAATCCAACAATAACCAGTTATACTTGAGATAAGGCTAAAATAGATAGAATTGCTTTGTATGTTATATTGTAGAGTTCTATAGGTACAGAACTTGTATCACTACAAACTATGAAGTTTATTGTAAACAAAGTGTGTATAAAATACTATTTATCATTATTTTCCTTCTTGTTGTTTTAATTTGGTATCAAAGCTATTTTTGGCATCATTGTCGAACATTTTTCTTCTCCTTCTTTTTATCCTATACCCCTCAAACAACAAATGGTTTCCTCTAGTACTACTTCATCCATCGATACTTGCTACAACAAAAATCACCCCACTAGGTCAACTCACTAGTTTTCATCATTTTCTCTCTCTTAAACTCACCCACATGCTATCTCTCGTGGCATATTCAAATGAAGCCTTTTCTTCTAAGCCAAGGTCTCTTCGGTTTAATTGATAGTTTCCACCCTTACCCCTCCCCCCTCCCCCAAATTCCACTCTTAAGACCCCTCATGACTCACTTGGATTTAACAAGATCAATTGTTCATGAGCATCATCATCTCCTCTCTTTCCATTGATGTGCTTCCACTCGCTCATTGATTGCACCATCTCTCATGAAATATGGACCGTATTTGAGAGCGCCTTTGCATCTCTATCTAGCACTCGCATCATGACCCTCCACCTTGTAATGCAAAAGATTCACCGGAGCCCAATGAACCAATGTCCTAATTTTTGCATCATGTCAAATCACACGAGTGATGAACTCACTACTGACGAGCCAACCCCTATCTTTCATATATTTCAATCTATGTCTTCATAATGAATTTCAAGACATCATCACTACACTCTCCACAAGGCCCAAACAAGCAAGCTTTATTAATCTCCATAGTTTCTTGGTCGATCATGAGTTTTTAAATCATAAGTCTCTATCCGTATCTTTTCTTTCACCATAAAATTCAACTTCGTTACCAACCCCTCCTACGGCCAACCTCATTCACAAGCCCATTGGCCACCATACTAATCATTTTACTAGTTATAACCATGGAAGGGTAGACATTTCTATGGACATGGTTGTGATAGATTTCCTCCTTGTTTTGGCGGTAATAATTGTGGTTCGGAACATAGAAATCTACGACACTCAAATGGTCAAAGAAAAAAATGTTAGATTTGTTTCTCTTAGAGCCACACGATGATACATTGTTTCCAAAAGTAGTTCCTTCCTTCTTAACTATTTGCTAATGTCTCATCTACTTCCTCTACTATGTCATATGCCCATTTTTTGTGTCCTAATAATGATGCTTCACACCATGTGACACTTGATTTGTCAAGTTTTAGTATGTATAAGCCCTATCAAGGTCATAAACACCTTCGAGTTGGTAATGGTGGGTATCTCAAAATCCAACACATAAACGAGTAGTCATATTTATACTTCATCCAAAACATTACGGTTACTTGATGTTTTACATGTTACTGAAATAACTAGACTACTTTTTTTAGTCAAAAGACTAACTCTGTGATAATAATGTATTTTTGGAATTTCACCCCTCTTCTTTCGTCTCAAGGACCGAGTGCACACGAAACTTCTACTTTCAAGCCGGAGTAATGTCGATCTTTATTCTCTGTCTTTTCCTTTAGTCTGTCCCATTTCTCAAGCTCATTCCATCTATGTATTTACTTCGGTTTGGCAATCTCAACTAGGTCATCCTCATAACATATACTTGAATCTTATTTTATAAAATAATGCTTTGTCAAATTCTAGAAAATTATGTAGCTCTTGCTTATCTTGTCCATTAAGGAAAGCGAGTCGTTTATCTTTACCTTCTTTAAAAAACTTAATTGTTAGTATTTTAAATTTGATCTTTAACAATGTGTGGGGACCTTCCCTATTACTTCCTATGATGGTCATAAATATTACATTACTTTTGTTGATCATTTTTCAAAATATATATATGGTTTTATCCATTATATAAAAAGTCTAATGTATTTCCTTCCTTTATTACTTTTCAAAAACTGATTGAATGCTAATTTAATTGTAAAATAAAACAAGAGCAAACAAACCGTGGTGGGGAATTTGGAAGCTTAAAATCATTAAGCATCATTCATCACTTAATATGCCCTCACACCCGTGAATAAAATGAGATTGTTAAAAGTTGATACCGTCATATTATGGAAATGAGCCTCACTTTACTAGGTGAAGCAAGTGTTCCTAAAAAATTTTAGCACCACGCCTTCAAAAATGTTATCTTCTTTATTAATATAATGCCTTCTTTAACAATTAATAATGCCTCTCCTTTTGAAATGGTTTTTAAAAGAAAACCAAACAACTCATTTCTAAAAGTTTTTGGAAGTCTCGATTGTCCTTTCTTACATCCCCACAATGAATATAAAATTGATTTTCTATCTACTCTGTGCATATTTCTTGGGTATATTCCTTTCAATTTAGGATATGATTTTTTTGATAACAATATTAATCACTTTTACATCCCACTTCATGTTCACTTTATCGAAAACATTTCTTTTTTTGCTAAACCGAACACCCCATTTGCTAACTCTTTTTCTTCTACCATATCTACCCCTTGTGCTAGCTTACCTATTAAGAATTCAGTTTATTCCACTAAAGTTTTTAATGCATATTAGTATCACTTGTCTCACCCTCTTATGCTCTCTTGACCATCTTTGTAGCATAATTTAGTACCCGACTCACGATCTCGCAACCTAGAAACTCACGGTTACTCAATTTGTTCAACTCCTCTACCCTAAAATGGGTTTATGATCCTTTTGTGTCCCGACTACCACAACACTCATCCTCTCACAATCACACATGAAAATCTAATCCTACTTCCACTAGACAACCTCATATGTCCTTTACACACACCGGTAGCCACAATTCTTACCTCCGACCTTTGTCTCCCTTATTAAAAACCTCTAAATCCATCTCTCTTATGTCTCGACCACCATGGCCTTTCCAATCATATATCATCCACAAATGCTCTAGCCCGAGTCACCATAAACACATTCTTTCTCTAAAAAAAATGTCGTCTTCTTTCCCAAGTCTCAATTTATTAATGGATTTCAATGCTTATAACTT